AAAAAAAAAAAACATGATCCTTGGATTTATGAAATCCCAGGATCTTTATTAATATTTAATTTTTGCTACAACAAGACTTTAGAAAGTAAATGGAAAGATTTTACCATAATTTCTAGAAACTTCTGATGGGTAAGTCTTTCTTACATTTCAATACTGTAGTTATCCAATGTCATAGTCACTAATCACATGTGTCTATACAAATGCGATTTTAAATTAAATATGATTTTAATTAAATTTGCATTAGCCACATCTTAAAGTTCTAGCAGCTACCATATTGGACAGCACAGATATAGAACACTTCTGTCATCACAGAAAGTTTTATTAGGTAGTGATGTTCTGGACACTTGAGGAATTTTGACTTTTATTTCTCTTTCTAGGAAGCGAGACATCATGCAGAATATTGTACAGATTTTGGAATCAGTACAGTTGAAATGGGAACTATTTCAGAGCTGGACAGACTTTTCAAGGCTCCATCTTTCTAATAAACTGGCCATTTTTGGAATTGGTTATAATACCCGTTGGAAAGAGGATATCCGTTACCATTATGCTGAGATCAGCTCCCAGGTGCCCCTTGGCAAGCGACTTCGGGAATATTTCAACTCTGAGAAGCCTGAGGGACGAATCATTATGACCCGAGTACAAAAAATGAACTGGAAAAATGTTTACTACAAATTTTTAGAGATTACTATTAGTGAAGCTAGGTGCCTAGAGCTGCACATGGAAATTGACTGGATACCCATTGCCCACTCCAAACCAACTGGTGGGAATGTTGTTCAATATTTATTGCCAGGAGGCATTCCTAAAAGCCCAGGCCTTTATGCCATTGGCTATGAAGAATGTATTGAGAGGCCCCTCTCACCCCACATGGAACGTCGCTCCCTGGACCCAGGAAAAGAGGGCCGGGTTGACCTGGAAACTCTTTCAGCTCAAGCCTCGTTACAGGTGGAAATAGAACCCACTCGAATTACCTATTGCTACCTCGGAATTGCTGAGGTCAGGACTCTACAGCAATGCTTATTTTTACATTTCCAAGCAAATACCAAAACCTTCAGCAAAGATTGGGTTGGTATTAATGGGTTTTTGTCTCAGAACTGTATTGTGGATCCTGGAGTTTCCCCCAAATCCATCTATATCAAATTTGTAGAAGTAGAGAGGGATTTTCTTTCCGCTGGCTCTTTAGTAGAGTGCCTGGAAAAAGCCATTGGATATCCCTTAAAATTTAACAACTGAATGTCATCCTTCATAAGGATTTGGGCTCTTACCTCCCTCTTCTCTACTCACTCTATGTTATCTAGACTGCCCTCATCCAGATGCTGCCATCAGACTCTTCATGAGAACTCTTTCCACGATTGGGCCAGTACAACTTCTGAGGAAACAGTAGACATTGGGCAGATAAAAACAGACCCCACCAAAAATGCTCATTTTGAGCAAGCAAGATATATAGTGAACTTGCATGGTGGGTCAGTTGTTTCTTTTTTTAAAACAAAAAATTTTTAAATGGATTTTAGAGCCCTAATGTAAATAAATGTAGGTACATTCCATATTGGACAAAACTTATACTTTGAGTTTCATATGAAATTGAAAAATTGTATTTTTTTCACAATGTTTCATTTTTACACATCTCTATGTCTCTATATAAGTATTATTTACAACCCTGAATAAATAAGCAATAGATAATGGCAAGTTAAATCTTGAGTCACAGTAAATAAGACTGTTTTGCAATATCACCTTTAGCTACTATTGTATATAATTTAGAATTTCATTTTTTTCACCAGCCAAGTGTTTTGCTATTTCCAATCAGTGTTGCCTGCAAAGATCTTTGTTTCTGTGATGTACCAACTTTATGGTTGTGTTGCCATTTAAACTTTTTTTATAAAAAAAAAAAAATTAAAGTAATACCTGGCCTCTTGGCGTGCTAGTTGCGCTTTTTGTAGCAGATTGTGGCCAAACTGGCGGTGGGGACTATGCTCTGGCTTAACTGCTAATAATGAACAGAACAAACAGAGCAGGATCCACTGGCAGTGTTCATTCAGTGCCCACCCATTGACCAACTGTCATTATTTCTTGTCAGTATCAAAGGTCATTGGACATCGCATTTTATATTTCTTTAAAAAAAAAAATGACTAGGATATTCTATCTGACCTGAGGAACATAAATTTGTAATCAGGAGAAAGCTTCCCAAGGGGTGCAAATAATAAATTGATGTCTCTTGCTGGGTCTACAAGAGGGGGAATTGAGGGCCCAGTAGAAATATTGAAAACAAAACCCCAAAAACCTTAAAAAGTGATCCATAGGAGAAGAAATTGTAAGGTATCAGTCTATTATGAAGGTGACTGCCATTTTTTTCAAGAGTTCCAGTGGGTTAGTCACCACTCCACTTAGAGGTTAGTACTCTTAGCTAAGAGGAGTTTACTAGTAGAATAGTCAAGGATCACTTTGGTGTCATGATAGGAACTCATTGGATTGGTTATTTATTTTTGATTCCTCAACATCTCTCAGATGCTTTGCTTTAATGGGCTGCAGCTCCAGGTAAGAAATGTAATTCTTCGTGTTTTTCTATACCAGTGAAGATAAAATTGCATTTTGTTAAAAAAATGTTCTTTTCCCATAATCTGAATAGTGAATTTCTCATTGTGATTCTGATTTCTTTGTGCTTATTTATTTTTCTAATGACTAGTGAGCCTTATAATCAATGGGATGGCTTTGCTTTATGTTATTTGCATCTGGGCTTATTGAGTTGGCTATTTTCTGATGCAAGCTGCTAAAAATAGGTGTAAATTCAGGGAGAGTATAAATATCCTGAGAATGTGTGAGTGTAGCACCTGTTCTCTCTGGGCAGAGTGTGTAGGCAGGAGCCTTAGGAAATTCTCATGAGTTTACTCTTTGGGACTTGGATTTATAGTCCATCTTATAGCAATAATCTCAAATATTCATTGTTAAACTCTGTAGAAAAAAGCATTAGTATCAGAACCACCACATGGCATCCCCAAAACTTTGCCCCTGACCAAACCCAAAACTAACATTAATACTTCATGCATTTTTTTTTTCCTGCATCCTACTTGCCACTGCTCTGAGGTACTCAGCCGGGCAGAGTATTTTAGGGACATATAGTGAAGATGTTTTAGACCTACTTAACGTTACTGAGAACAGAGCATTGCTAGACCACTGTCCAACATGGAGAAGATGGCAAAGATCAGATCCAGTATGAGTTATTACCAGTTGGCTTGAGATGGGTTAGGGTGGAGGTAGGGAGAAGAGGACAAAGCTAAACTTTGGGAAATGGAGGCTTGCCAAGAAAATAGCTTGCCGATACTGAGTATCCAGTGTCTTTGGCCAGAACAGCCTATAATAGAAGAAAGCAGGTTGTCAGATAACTGAGCATTGCAAAAAAAAAAAAAAAAAAAGCAGGCAGTGATGGTACATGGCTGTATAATCCCAGCAATTCAGGAGACTGAGGCAAGAGGACCACAACTTCAAGGCCGTCCTGGACAATTTAGCAAGACCCTGTCTCAAAAAAATAAGCTGTGGAGGTAGCTAAGCCATATTAACAGATTCAAGGAGGGTGGAGACACTATATTCAAATAGAAGACTAGAATTCTTTGGCGATCTGAAATAAAGTGTGTTTGGAAGGAACATATAAAGCTAGATTTAGCTTTTGCATATGTGTATGCAAGCAGCTCTCTGATCATGCTCAGATGTGTGCCAACATTCTCATCTTACACCAGGTTAGAATGCAATGTCCACCCTGAAGTACATCTTGGCAAAAACTTGAAGTAAGTAATAGAATTGCTCTGCTACCTTCTACTACTTGATTCCCTCAGGGTCAGAAGAAAGAAGTGGTTGAAACAGGAAAATTCTTTGGGGTAAAAGTCCTGAAGAGACTGCTCCTGTGTCACAAGGATACATTCACTAATCCTTGGTTCCTGCTTTGCTTCCCACATAGCAAGTTATTTGAAATCTGAATTTTGAAGGAATAGCTAAGGAGTGAATATTGAGGCCATCCATACCTTAAGTAGCACTTGATAGGACACCTGTGTGATCGTATGCTTTGTCATTTCAGGGTTACAACTAAGACTTTGTATCGTCTTTCTTGGAAGGAGTTACTTATTTGGAGTGGTGTAATCCTGGTCTGGAAACAAAGGAGAGTTTACAGGAGGTGCTTTGTGGGCTGGAGTTGTGGCTCAGTGGTAGAGTGCTTACCTCACACATGTGAGGCACTGGGTTCAATCCTCAGCACCACATAAAAATAAAAGTAAAGGTGTTGTGTCCATCAACAACTAAAAATAAATAAATAAATAAAAATTAAAAGGTGCTTTGCAGTGTATATTAAAGCTGAAAAAATCTCAAGTGTGATAGGATAAGAAAACCAAACCAAGGGCCCCTCCCCCATCTTTTTTCGTTCCTGCGGTTTGTAGATCCCTGTGAAGCTCTCAGCTATTTCTGTTGCCTTTGCAGCCATTGAGCTGCCAACTGTTAGATTCCAGAGATGGCATGAGTGGTTTAGGGTTTGCATAGGCGTTTCTCAAAGCCACCGCACAGCAGGTATTTGAAGAGGAGCCAGGCAGGTTACACAAGGAAGAAGCCCCAGAGGGTCTATAGGGCATTGTGTAGAAAAACACCTTGCACGGTGTGGGCACCAAGACTATACTCAATGTGTGGAGTAGAGAATTCAGTAGGCCTTTTAGTCCCAGAGTTGTCTGGGAATAAAAAATAAAAGGGGGCAGTGCCTGGAATTCGTGGTTACTTTCTGTCCTCTGTGACCCCTTTTGCTCAATGACTGAGCTCTTTTTTTTTTTTTTTTGGCGGTTGGGCAGAGAAACAAAAACAGGTGCATACGCTTACGTGAAGAAGCGGCCAGCAGAGGGCGCAGGGATGCCTTTTGGCTGAATGGTGGGGGGTAGGGTGGGGGCGGTTAAATTAAATTCACAACGAACAAGATCTAGTCCTGGGAATTAAAGGATCAAAGCAGGCCTGAGCCGTTCATTGCAGGGGTGGGAGGCAGCTGAGACAAGGGGGGATAAAGAAACGGAGAATTTTGTCCTACCTTCAGCCGCCCTCTGCTCCCCCCCAGTCAGCCTAAGACCTATAAGCAGTTTATTCTAGGAGTGAAGAGCTGGGAATAACACTCATAGCTGCCTCAGTTTCCTGCCCATCTCCTGGTGATATCTTGCACCAGTCTTCTCTGCTCGGGGTGTGAGGCACAAGGCTGGAGGGTTTTAGGGGGTCTATGAGAACTCAAAGCCGCTCTCCCTGCCCACACAAAGACCGTCCTGCCTGGTAGAGCCGCAGGTGCTGGCTTGTTGCCATGCGGTCCAGGACCTCCACCCCGACAGACCCAGGCTACTGGGAGTGTGCCAAGTGGGTGTGACACTGACCCTTCCTGCCTGCTGGGATGGCTGTGCCTGCCCCTGACTCTGGGAAAGCGTTTGAATCCGGCCGCAGTATGGGTTCGGAGCGCTACGCTAACACCTTTCTGCCTCTTAAAACACTAAGTCCCAGAGCTTTGCGGGGAAACGCGCTTCCCCCTTCCTCCTCCAGAAAGCCCGTCCTTTATTAGATACCCCCAAGCTCAAAACGGGTTATTCGACTTGGAGCCCCAGGGCTTTTACATTGTCTGGGCGTGGGTGGCATCTGGACTTCGGAGAGTCCCCCCAAACTCCCTTTAGAGTCACCCTTCCAACCCTGCAATGGCAAAGGAGATGAGTTTGACCCAAAATAATAGTTCAGGACTCTCCTCTTTCCTTCTTGCTTCCCAGGACTGGCTGGCGGGGTACCATGGCTTAACGCTATTCCAACCTGAAGCTTGACTGGGTAGAGCCCGTGATCCCGCGGCTTGAGTACTAGAAGCGCCCCCCTGCGGTGGGTTACTATTGGGCCCCGCCCGGGACCTCTCCGCCCTCTTAAATGCCCCGCCCCCTGTCGCAGTTGGTCCCCACCCCACCACCGGCTCACTAGCAGACTTGGGCTGACTGCCTTTGGTGTCAGTGGCCTATCTCCTGCGCACGCTCCGGCTTGTCGGCTTGTCGCACAGCTCGGCACCTGTCCGACGGTGTATCCTGGAACTGGCGCCCCTGACTTGGTCCAGGCCAGGGAGGGCCATGGTTTTTCTACCTGGCCCTCCTGCGACGCCCTTGCTGCGATTTTTGTTCCTAGGGCTAAGTACTCTCGGTGAGTTAAACTCGGGACCAAGAGGGGAGTTGGGATGTCATATAGGATGAATCTGACCCATGGGAGGACTTTGGGCACTGAGGAGGAACTGGATTTGACAGGACTCCCAACTTCAGACTCTTGCCCTTCTTCCATTGTCCCCCACCCCCATGCTAGAGCATCACTGGCTTGTGCTGATTTCTCCCCATAAGGCAGGGACAACTCCCAGTTTGGGGTGTGGTGTATGTGTTGGGGGTGGAGGCAGCATCTCCAGGCATGATAAGGGCATCTCCAGATAAGGGCATCTCCAGACAAGACCAGGATATCTCTGGGATGAGTTATTGGAACCATTCCCCCTTCCACTTTCCTCTCTAACTCCAGCAGAGCTGGATGAGCTGAGGCGCTAGATGAGACACTGACTAAAGAGCTTAAGGACTTAACTCCCGTCCCCCCTCTGATCCCCACCCTCCATGTACACCCAGCTGACTGGAAAGATCGATAGGGGAATGCCCTGGCCCCCAGGCTTGACACACGTACTTAACATCAATTCTCCAGCCCAGTTCCTCCCTCTTGTCCCCTCTGGCTTCCTGCCCTGGAAATCAAGGGAGGTGCCCCAAAGGCATGTCCATGAGGTCATTTGGACACAGGAAATGGGGAAGGGTTCAAATGCTGGGAGAATTGTGACTCTCCTCCAGGTCTACCACCCTTATGTTTTCCCAGAGAGGAAGGTAACCTCTTAGAAAGTGCTGAGATTTAAAAGCTTCCAGCAGCAATAGCTTCAAGAGCTAAGTGGCTCAGTGCTACACCTGGAGAAAAGGACCCAGGAGGAACTGAGCTCATCATAAGTTGTTTCACTTTACTGCTTCTCAGAATTTTTTGCTGTCCCCCTCCAAGAATCACAAGGATGTTAACATCAGCTTTAATTAATTTTAGGAGGATGCCAGGGCAAGTAAGGCCTAAAAGGATGTAGAGTGAAAGTGCACCCCAATGATGGGGACCTCTTAGCTCCTTTCTGTCTCTGCTTCCCTTTTAGCCTGCTGTGTGAGCCAGTGGTATTGAGGCATAAAGTATCAGGATCCCTAGACAGATGGGTCTTAAGAGTAGCACCCTAGCCGTAAAGCCTGGTAAGCTTTCTGCCCTCTTGATATAGAGTGGCCAGAAAACAGTTCCTGCCCTGAAACTTGTCTGGGTCCAGGAGAGGTGCTAGTTTCCTTCACCCCTGGTGCCCCAGAGACCTACTCCCGGTCCTGCATTTATACTTGCATTTTGCAAAAGGTAGAGCCGGGGTTAAAATACTCAATGGACACAGCTTCTCAGCTCTGCCCTCCCAACTTGAACTTGAGTTCCTCTTTCCTTTCTGCATTCTGTCAATTTCCCTAACCCCATTCCTACTGGGAAGGAGGTCTCCAAGCATGAGAGGAAAATTCATATTTACTGGCTGAGCGACCACCTGCAGCTCATCTATCCTAGTTTTGATCTTCAGTTTGTAATACTGAAGGCTTTGACACTCCTACCCTTTGCCCTGCGGGTTGCCCAGCTCTTGCTGTCCTCTTGAGGGTTAAATGGGCTCTGAACCATGGGGCATGAGGCAGGCGCTACTCTGCTCCTCGCCCCCACTCAACATGGTCCTCTGGCTCCACAGGCTCCTCGGCTCAGCGTTGCTGCCCTTGGGGCGTGAGAAGCCCATGGGGGGAATTTCTCAGAGAATGAAGGAGACTAAAAATAGTAGCCCTGGGGAGCCGGCCCATTTCACTCTCTACAGGCGTTTGCCTGCTTTCTCACTCTGGTCTCACAGTGGGCCAGAGAGGTCCCTTTCTTGGGCTGTTCCAACGCCTTTCACTCGGACCCAATCACTCCCCACTTCCCCCTCAGAGGTACTCAGGACCAAAAGGGCAGCAGACACGCAGGACAGAGGACGGAGGAGAAGCCAGTGGCACTCTCCTGCTCCTGGTTTCTGACCGAGGGTGTAGGACAGGAAGCATTTGTCTTGATCCTTCTGTGTCCATTGTGTATTTTAACCACCGCTCTACCTTTTGCAAAATGCACTTATAAATGCGGACAGGGAGTAGGTCTCTGGAGCGCCTGGGGTGAAGGAACTTTGCACCCCTCTTGGACCCAGACAAGTCTCTGGGCAGGAACCATTTCTGGCCACTCGGCGTGTGCTGCAGAAAGGCCCGGGAGGAGTGGGCACCTACAGGCCAGGTCCCCATGGGGCGTCGAGCTCCTTGAGGCTGGGGTTGTTTTCTCCTGCAAAGCCTCCGGTCCAACCCGCCCCCCTTCATTGTCTTCTGCCTTATCTCCGGGCACAAGTTTCCTGCCCAGCCTTCAGGGACCCGCCAGGAAATGGGAAGGGGGGTGCTAGGAAGGACAAGGAATTGAGAGGGGGTTCTGTAAAGACGTGCAGCAGGGAAGCTGTGGGGGTGGCGCGCATCCTGCCGGGATCCGCTCTCGGGCGGTTGGAGGCTTTCAGACCAGCACTACAAGGGCGCAGAACTAGGCCTGTCTGCCGCCTCTGCCTGCGGATTGGCCGCCAGCTCACCTCGCGGAGGTGGCGTCTCCTACTCCGGTGCAAAGTGCTGTGGCTGGGAAAGAGCAGAGCCCAGGACCAGGAACCACCGCGTCCTCAGGTTTAGCCAGGTATTAGTCCAAAATTATTTACCCCAGAAAGGACTCAGCATTAGGCTATTTCATTGCCTCTCTGAAGGACAAAAGAACAAGTGTCCCTATGCGCCATGGTGCAAGCCACATCCCTCTAAGTGAAACAGACACCCAGTCCACCCCCTGAACGCTGTGCACCTGTGGGGGAATCTCCGTGCTTGTCAGAATACTGTCCTTTCCCCTACCTGTAATTACTAGAGACCTAATAGAACCTGCCCAGAGCACCCGGATCCCCAAAAGGAACTTGACAGGTTTCTAAGACCCAGTTCTCTTATTTTCTTAGGGAGGATTCCTTGGGATTGAGCTGGAGGCCCGGGAGCAGGGTAGTCACTGGGTCAGGCGTGGGTGCTGAACTCCTCTCAGGCCACCTGAGGTTCAGAAGGAATGGTAACCCGGTGGCCTCCCAAATCCCTCTGCCCATCGGGTTGAAGAGTGAGGAGACCTGGTGTTCCAGACTAGCGTCGTCACTTTCCCTATCTCTCCCCCAAGGAAATTTAGAGAGCAGCTGTTCAACGTGGGGTGTAAATGAAAAATAGACCTGCCCCAATCCTGCTACATTCTTGATCCTTCTTCTTGGTGCTCAGAATCTGTGCCTCTGGGTACTAATAAATACATAGGAATATGTTCTCATCCCTACAACAAACCCATGGACTTTGAGGAGACGCAAGACACTGGGTTACAGGTCCCTGAGTACTCTTCAAGGCTTCCCCTTGAGTCATGGTGAAGTTTGTTCAGATTCGTATAGCCTCCCTACCCGCAGTGCCAGTGCGGGTCGGGAGTCCAAGGTCTGAGCAGGGAGCTAATCCAGAGCGCTCACTCCTCCTCATTCTGTCTCCAGTGTCCCTCTCCAGAGCCCAGCTGGAGCTACACGTGCCCACCGGCCTCACCAAGTTGCAGGTGGCAGAGGGAACGGAAGTGGTGCTCCCAGCTTGGTACACTATACAAGGCGAGGCGTTTGCCGTCCAACCATGGGAAGTGCCAGTTGTGATGTGGTTCTTGGAACAAGACGGGAAGGATTTAAAACAGGTGAGGGGGAGGGCATCCCAGCTAGTAGCAAGCTGTACCCAACTGTGGATGTAGGGAAGATCTGGGGAGATGGAGAAGTGGCAGGGGAATGAAAGCTGAGGAAAGAGTTTTAGGGAAAAGCATGTGTCCTTAGTTTCAGTGTTTTTTCCCCCATCTTAAAGATGTCCCCAAAGACTTCCATTTCCCTCAATTTCCCCTAGAAATCTGGTACCCGAACACTGTAATAGCAGAGACATTTTACTTTGTTATGGTAGTGGTGGAGCAGGGGAGTGGAGATTGAGAAAAGGGGAAAGCTTATGGGAAGTAGCAAACATTTAAAAGTTGGCCATGTTTCTGTGTTCCCATTCTGTATATTTCGGAAACTGTGTTCCCATTCTGTATATTTCGGAAATACAGGCCACTTCTTTTCCCCAATAATTACCATCTATCCCACTCTCCTTTATACCTGGAGAGGCAAAAGGCAGTCTCCTCCCACATTCTCCCTTTTTTCCTCCTTCTTAATGCAAGACTTCCACTCAGAGGCAGGTTTACCCAAAAGCTAATGAAACAGTTTTCAAGGCCCCTACTTACAGGGAGAGCTTTCAAAGTCCTGGAAAAAATATGTTTAAAGAAATCATTTGATCTTGTTTTGTTTTGTTTTGTTAAAGATAATTTTAGCCTGGGGTTTGTGGCACATGCTTGTAATCCCAGCAGCTCTGGAGGATGAGGCAGTAGGATTGCAAGTTCCAAATCAGCTTCAGCAATTTATTGAGGCCTTCATTAACTTAGTGAGATCCTGTCTCAAAATAAAAAATTAAAATGGCTGGAGATGTGGCTCAGTAGTTAAGCCCCTCTGAGTTCAGTCCTTGGCACTAAAAAACAAACAAACAAAATCTTTTTCTTAAAGATGCCTTCCTCCAACTGTGTAAGTTTCAGGCCCTACAAAACCTGGATCTACTCTGCAAATTCCCTATTACATTATCCACTCCCTTCTCTCATTCAGCCACTTTTCTAAAGCACTCCAAATGGGAGATAAAGACACAATGCAAGGGGGAATAAGGTCTGTTTTGGTGAAGGAACCTGGTGCAGTGAGAGGGTGGCTGGGGAGATGGTGGATAGGGGCTGGTACAGGTAAGAAGGATGAGTGTGGGGGAGCAGCATGTGAAGAAGGCCAGTTTCAGGGAGGGGGACTGGATGACCCATGGGCACATGCATCATGGAATCATAACCGGAAGTGAACTGCCCCTAGGTATTGGCCTACATCAATGGGGTCTTGTCAAGCAAACCTAGAGCATCCCTGGTCTACTCCATGCCCTCCCGGAATGTGTCCCTGCGGCTGGAGGGCCTCCAGGAGAAAGACTCTGGCTCCTACCGCTGTTATGTGAATGTGCAAGACAGCCAAGGCAAAAGCAGGGGCCACAGCAGCAAAATCTTAGAGCTCAAAGTGCTAGGTGAGTGAGAAGCACACACTTCCAGATCCCTCCCCACCCACAGGGAGGTGAGGAGGTCTTTCTCCCAAGTGGCTGAGTATAAGGTTTGGGGGTGGGGCCAATGGAGTGACAGAAGGGTATGGGGGTGGGGAGGATCCATGGCTCCCTTGGGTGTGGGCTTTAACCTGTGTCTCCTTCCCCAGTTCCTCCAGCTCCTCCATCCTGCCGCCTCCTGGGTGTGCCCCATGTGGGGAACAACGTGACCCTGAGCTGCCAGTCCCCAAGGAGTAAGCCTGCAGCTGAATATCAGTGGGAGCGGCTGCCCCCATCCCCCCAGATTTTCTTTGCACCAGCTTTAGGTGAGGGAATTTCTTAACAACTGAGACTGTGACTGAGGAAGGGAAAAGATGAGAGGTGCCCTGGGGACTGGGGCGAAAAGGAGAGGCAATACTGCAAAGGACTGGGCAGAGGGAAGAGGAGAGGGAGAAGAAGAGAAGAGGAAGTGAGAAAGACAGCTGCAGATGGTGGGGAGTGGCTAGGTAGTGCACCATAATCCCAGCAGGAAGATCAAAATTTCAAAGGCAGCCTCAGCAATTTAGCAAAACCCTAAACAAGTCAGGAGACCTTGACTCTAAATAAAATACCAAAAAGGGTCAGTGGTTAAGTGCCCCTGGTTTCAATTCCCAGTACAAAAAAAAAAAAAAAAA